GGGTTTGCAGTACGGTAATGACTCTTTACATGGGGAAACAGTGAGTTTCACATGTACTGTATTTTTAAGTCATAATTTCTTAAAATTAGAACAGTCTTATTGAGTGGTAGCAGCAAAATTGAAAAGCAGGTTACCTTATTTCTGTGCAGTAAAAGCACCACAAGTGCTATATAGAAATATAAGTTTTATAGTTCTGAAATAATGTCACTGAAAGATTGATACTTTATGCCCATTGAAAAGATCCAATGATTGCCATATACGTATGTATTGTACTATACAGTGGTGGATTTAGAGGGGGGGATGTCACTGATATTCCCCTCTTGGAATTAGAATTTTGACTAGCTGCTTTATAGTTCTTATATTCCAAATGGCACTGTTTGCCCTCCAAAACACTCCAAGGAGGGCCGTGGCCTGTCATTCCTGAAAAATCGGACCCCCTCTTCAAATAATCCTGGATCCGCCCTTGTTATACTTTACTGTACTGCACTGCACTGTCTTGCATTGTAGCATATTGCACTATACTGCAGTCTACTGTATTGTACTGTACTATACTGTAATGTACTGACTGCACTGTATTGCATTGTACTATATTGTACTGAATGGTAGTGTATTGCATTGCATTGTACTGTACTGTATTGTACTGCACTGTATTGCATTGTACTATATTGTACTGAATGGTAGTGTATTGTATTGTACTGTACTGTATTGTACTGCACTGCATTCCACTGTATTGTAATGTGTATCAGTCTTTATTGGAATCAGTTGCCTGCAGATTATAATACCATTTCCACGTATAGATGCATCAGCATTGATTTTAGATTAGAGTCATTACTGGAGTGAAACTATCAAAGCACTGAGCTGCTAAATGAACGCACAAAGCTAGAATATCTGATATATCCTGTTGGTATCTGATTTGGAAATAATTATGATGTGCTGTAGTCAAGTTTATCATTTTTTCTTTTCTTTCTATGTTATTTTAAGACGTCTTTCAATTTTGTTATGTATACGGAACATAGATTATTATTATTATTATTATTATTATTATTATTATTATTATTATTATTCACTCATTACATAGTGATAGTGCAAGTAAATAAGTTCTAAGTATGATACATTATTGAATGTGCATTCAATAAAAGTAAGAGCCCTCTTTCAAAAAATGTCAGATGGGATAGAAAATTTCATACTGTAGAGTGAAAGAAGGAAAAGGTCAGCAAAATTATATACTGGTCCTGGGAAATAAAAAAAAACCTCTTGTGAAAGTATCTGTTCAATTCATGTAGAAAGTAATTTGTATTCCTTCTTTACAAAAGATGGCAAAAATGTAGATCCAATTTTTTTTTGCTTTTCCAGACTTTGATCCTGCGAGATTACTGGTTGTGCACTGTGCTCAGTATCATGTTTGAGGTTCTAGAGTATACCCTAGAGCACCAGCTGCCCAATTTTAGTGAATGCTGGTGGGATCATGTGAGTACAACTGCATGTAAAACTTTTATATGTATATAACATGAATGCAGACTTTTTCCAAGAGAAAAGGCAAATACTGAAAGGGATGAAAAAAGGCATTTTTTGAAGTGTTAGGAAAACCAAATTCAGTTGAAATTGTATTGAATTTCACTTTTTTTTTCTCCTGAAAAACAGTGTTTCCTCAAAATTCCTTAAAATTTGTAAAGAACTTCTTGTGACATCTTGTCCACTAACTGACCATCAAGCCATGGCTGATTAAAGTGTGAACTCTTTGTTGATATAATGAATATGCCTTTTTGATGTGAAAGCAAAGGAATGGAAAGCACGGAATCTAGGGGTCTGACATAATTTCAAGTGTAGAAGAAAACTTTCTAGGCCTGCATCTTTATTTACAAATTCATGGCTAATGACATATCATGCTACAATGACCACTAATGTACACACACAGTATGTTCAATACTTTTGGTGCTGAAATTTAGTCAAAATAAATGTATATATGGAGATTAAGACAGATTATCAAAATGGGGTTGTCTCTTGATTACTGTCAATTTGCAGATTTGTTTTAGTTTGAATATCCCATTTGCTATATTTGAGTTGCCATCCCACATAGGTTCTCACAAATGTGTACGCATACTCATTTTCCTGCAAACATTTTAAACACAGGCGCATATGAACACGTAAACACACATGTAGTTGGAATTAATGGAGGGGACAAAATTATCTACCCCTTCCATTTCTGAAGCATGTATTTAATATACAAAGAGTAGTATCCCCCAAGTTCTTTTTATGCATTGTATATATATATACTGTAGTGTGTGTGTGTGTGTGTTTGTGTGTGTGTTCTTGTAAATGCCTTCTCATTTTCATATCATAGCATACTGTCCAACAGTAAGTTTCAATAATCTTCTTCAGTGGATAATGGATGCCT